CAGTAGTGAAACCACCCTGAACTTAATATATTTCCATCTAAGCACATTTCCAGCATTAGCAAATACACATGTTAGCAGGTGTTTCCCTAAAATGTTCCCCAATACTTGATTACTTCTGCATCCCCGGTCATGCTCCAGCCAAGCGTTATGTCTAGTAAACAAATCTGTGAGAGGACAAACAGGCGAAAAACCTTGTTTTCTAGCCAAGAAGGCAAAAGGTCAGGGAAAGCAGGTGCAACGCTCCTTGACATACTGTTGCATGTCTGGTGTGAGGTTTGCCTTCGCAAAGCAGAGTGTTACCTCCACATCAAGATGTCCAACAGAGAGAATATCAACAGCATACCTTCCAACACAATGTGGCCCAAATCTGGGACACCATCTTCCAGCTCCACATTCCTGTGTTAGTCACGTGACCTGTTCAAGATCACAGTCCTCAAAAGGCACTTTTAGGAGCAGCTCCATGCACCAAAAAAGTGCAGCTTGAAACTGCAAAAGACTGTGGTGGCCATTTTGGCCACTGTCCTTTCGCAAGAAAAAAATTGATGTCCCTTTTCTCTGGGGCAATTGGTGGGTATGCAACAGGTGAAGCTTGCCCCATATTTGTAGTTCCAAAAGGCTTATTCCGCTTAATATATTTCTGTCCCCTAGCTGTTAAAGGCATAAAAGTCCTGCTCGCTTCTAATACCAACCCTTAACCATGCAAAGAAGTCAAGTTTCACGTGTTGGCAATGAGTTATGTTACTGCAGGTCAGGTATGGGGCCCTCCACACGCTGCTGAAACTACAACTCCCATCATCCCAAGTCATTTGCCATGCCTGCTGAGGGCTGTAGTTCAGCAACATCTGGAGGGCCAAATAGGTTGTTTTATATCTAAAAGCTGATTGTTATTTCTGGCTAATCAGAAATCGGCTTGTAACTCTCCTGTTACGGAAGTCAATTGTGGCTTGTACATTGCTGCATCAGGCAACTGAAGTGCAAGAGGTGAAGGAAATGCCCAAAATATATAAACAGCCCCTGTGCAAAGTACCAAGCCTCCCTTCCACTTTATAACAAAGCTATAAACAGCCAGTGGCAGTGTGAGCCTATAATGGAAAATGATACAAGAATTGTGAGCAAAACTGAAACATAATTGATACGGTTAAATGAAAGCTTCATTTGCTAGAGAGAGAAAAGCAAAACCCTATTTCAAGGATTTGAAACTGATAAATTTACCTAACTTTGAATAGTGATGGAACTGGAGCTTTGGTTTTAAAAAGAATATACAGAGGTCTGTTCCTTTAAATGCTTTTAAAATATATTGGGTGTATAGCCTGCCTTTTTCACTTATGCTTTCATGAACACATGTTCTAAGCTGGTGATGCATCCATGGTTAGTCACCCCAGGGATGAGATCAGTTATCCAGAGCCAGTACCCTGCAGTGCAATACAGAAGGAAGGCGAGAGAAAGCTTTTGTTTCCTCTGCGCCAGCTTGTTGATTCAAGTAGTCTAAATGTGGGGCTGTAATTATCTTAAACTGTTTAGAAATGAAAGATAGAACAGATGCTGGAGCATCTGAGCTGTGGGCTGCTGATTTCCTACTGTCTTCAGTTACAAGGAAAGATGCTGCTAGAAATTCTGACTCCTTCCCCTATGCAGTGGGCGTTTCGGTGGGGAAGCGTTACTGGAAAGGGCAGGTAAGAGAATAAAATAAAGTGCAAGATGGAGACAAGAGCACCCAGAATCTCATCAAAACGCCACCATTCAGAGCTGTTCACACGCCACATGTGTGTAGGTGCGCTGTGAAACCGTGGAACCTGCTGGTTCTTCATTTGTGATGCTAAGTTAATAGGCTTCTGTTCTCTTTAAAGAAAAAAAAGCAGCACTTTAGTTTTCCAAACCTCATAAAAAAAGAAAAAGAAACCAGGCATGGTGAGCTGAGCACAGGCCATGCTGAGGATCAACATGAATTAGACAACGTTCTCAGAATTAGCCATTAAATACATAGCATTAAAAAAAGTTGGTAGTGGGTGTGGTGGATCAGTCATCTGGCCTATGGGGCTGTTAGGGGGCCTTTGCCACAGACGCAGTCCTGATCTAGATCAGAGCCCCCATATCTACTATTTGCATTGGGAGAAAACTTCCCTTGGTGTGACTATGAACTTTCGTTCCAATGCAAATATGAGGCACAAGGTGGCCAGTTGGGATCACAGGGTTGTATCCAATGAAGTTTTACTCAGAGTAAACCCACTATGACCAATGGGCCCCAAGTTCATTGTGTTCTTTGATTTCAATGGTTCTACTCTGAGTATTGGGTGCAACCCCTAGAAGGTGGCAAAAGGTTAAAGGCCTCTACCTGCTGCACCACAGTCTTGATTTAGATTGTGTGGGATAGCATGCTTATGACTTGGTGCAATTGCTAATTGTGGGGATATCATTTTGTCTGGCCTTGCCTTCAAATACCCAAAGGAAACAGGAATGAATATGGCTTATTCTGCACAATTCTTAACAGTAGTATTGGTAGCAGACATTATGCCACCCCCAAAGTACTGTTTACGTTTGAGGAAGGTTCAGCTGTGCTGTGCAAATTATGGGTTGTTGAGGGCAAGTATCATCTAGGAACTGGCATGTGTTCCATCCTGATATCCATGAAGAACAGTTTAGCCAAAGAAGTGAATCAATAATGAGTATACATCCTATCTTCTTTCCCTATACCTTTTTGTTGTTGTTGTTGTTGTTGTGATGCACAACATCCATATGCCAGTGCTAGTCACAGCTTCAGCCATCCACTGGTATTTCTGGGACAGCCGAATTGGCAACAGAAACACCTGCAAGGAATACCAAATGCAAGTTGCCTCATGCAGATATTTCCCAGATAGACCCTCTGTCTCTACCAGTCCATCTGACTACAACCCACAAGCCCACCACCATCACTAACCAGTGTGATCACTAAAAAGGAAGTAGGAATAGGCTGCACATTCTAAGACCTCCCAAGCCATTGGCTGAAGTGCTGTGATGTCGTGTAAGCCTAGAAATCAAATAAATTAGCTTCTCTCCACCAGTGGTTGAGTTACTGTGGTGTCTTGGGATGCTTACAAGATGAAGAAGACAACAAGGCATACATCGTCTTTAAGTGCTGCTCCTTCACTGGCTAAGACTCGCAGATTCCACTGTTAGTGGAAGAACACTAAGAAGGAGACAGTCCCTATCACCACCTTTTTACATAACCTGGTTAATGATATTATTCTTATTGCTCTTATGTATCTCCTCCAGGGCCCTTTTGGCCAAAGAGCAGAATAAAAAAGTTTAGTACCTGAGGAGTTCAAGATGTCTCATAAAAGGGCCTATAGACAGGATCTGTTTGGTCGAAAAAGCAATGTTAAATGTGTGTGTCTGTGTGTGTGTGTGTAAGTGTGTGTATTTGCTTGCAGGGAGAGACAGAGGGACTACAAAGAAGGTACTGCAAACATACAAAAAAAAAACATGTTCAGGTGGTTTTTTTTAAGGTCTCTAGCTTATTTAAACTTCAATTTACTTTTGCATCATTGAAGCATCTAGATGAGGTAAATAGGCAGGTGGGCGTACTGAATGGGAAATGAAGTTGAAGGATAAAGAATATGACATTTTTTTATCCAGATGGCTTTGAATTATGTTTCTCTTTGAAAATGACACTCAGGTCTGTGAATGGGGGAAGAGAAACCACAAACATTGCAAAAAGTTAACCATCGATGCAACATTAAAAATGCTTTGGAGAAACTGCTGACTTTGTCTCCCAGAGAACATTAGGGATCCCTTCCCAATAAATGCACCATGTGAGTTGTAGAATGCATTTCCTCATAGCTGAAGGACAGCTCTGTGAGAATCTTGCTTCAGAAGTGTGAAGCTCCTGTGGAGATGTCGGTAGAGTAGCTATTACCAGCTGCAAGGGTTGCTCAGGTGGTGAGAATTAATCACGATTGACCTGTAAAATAGACAGCACTATCTCGGCTGCCCATGTGTTTAGCTGCCTGCAAAAAAAGCCTTTAATAAGATTGCCAGCTTTAAAAAAGTTAAAAATACACTTCCTGCCATAGACCTGAAAGCTGCGATGGGTGTTCATTTATGAGGTCTTAATTAAGCCCAGCTAGTAGGCTGATCAAGAACTGGACAACTAAGGTCAGAGGCCAAAAAAGAAAGTTTCTGCTGTGGCTGAAATAACTGGTCATTTCCCACCCATTGTTTGACTGCAGGATTTTGATGAACCTGCTGGTGCGTGATCCATATAGGTGAGCAGCCTGGCATACACAATATAAAATAACACAAGCAGAAATGCAAACTGCATCATCCTAGAGCTACTCCAGCCACAACAAGGAGTTTTCAACCTGCGCTCTGTCCCGGGGCGCCAACTCTTGCATCTGACATGAGCTAATTTTATGCAAATCTGTGGCCTCTCCTGTCATATTTATTACTGTTGAATTTCCTGCGTTTATTCATTTATTAAGTGTAGATGTTGCCCTTCAACCAAAGATCATAGGGTATTTTATTCTGAGCTTCTTTGCAGAGCAGGCCATGTCAGAAGACATGCAAGAGAGACTAGATGGGTGTGATGCTTCTAGTGTTGCAGGGGGCAGGAGGCGAGAGAGAGAGAGGGCATCTCTTGAATTATGCCATCCCAGCCTCTGTGTGGTAAAGCTGCCCTTGAATTTGGGGAACCCTTGAATTTGGGGGACCCTTCTGGCAATGAGCATGCTTGTTCATGTGTGAAGGCAAGCAGATTCTATCATTATTCCCTCAGCACAGCCTGACCACTAACTCAAGGACGTCCAGAGAAAAACAGTTCCTACCATTTCCCAAGCCTTTACCTCCAACCAATGGATGTGTGCTGTACTGAAATGCCTGACCAAAAGTGTGATGTGCTGGAATCAACCTGTTTATGAATGCCCATCCCATTCTAGTCCTATAGACACTTTCTGAATCAATGGAGTAGAAAATAGCAGGGGAAAGCAAAGGGCCAAGACACCAGAGGTTGGATGTGTATTAGATTTGCCTTGGTAGTTCAGTCAGTAGAGCGTAAGACTCTTAATCTCAGGGTGGTGGGTTTGAGCCCCACGCTGGGCAAAAGATTCCTTCATTGCAGGGAGTTGGACTAGATGACTCTTACTGTCCCTTCCAATTCTACAATTCTGTGATTATAGATATGCATCCAACCCCTCCTTCCCCCTCATTGAAAGCTGCCATGTTGATGCCATCTTCAAACATATCAATCCAAGTCTTCATTCTAGGTTTATACATTGCAATGATACATTATCAAGACGTTTTTTGTTGTTTTTTTAAAAACCTTTGCAGCTGTTGTATTTCAGCCATCACTCTACACTGCTGTTTTCCCTCTACATTTCCTATGCAATCACTCGATAGAGAACTTCAAATCCCACTGTGTATTTATGCAATTAATATACTTGAGTTTGCAGCCAACCCCCCAGGTCTAATTACTAATGCCATCTGCATATGAAAGGAGTGTTGGTTTATTACCATTTTCCTTACTGGCTATTGATGTGAAAGTGTTTTCTGCATGTGTTCTGTGATAGAAGTTAAACCATGCCTCTGAAATTGATTTGCTTACCTTTCAATCTTTGCTTTCCTCACAGAGGTGCTTTTTCAGAAGTTTTCCTGGTGAAGCACCGAACGACTGGCAAGCTTTATGCCTTGAAATGCATTAAAAAGTCACCTGTCATCCGGGACAGCAGCCTAGATAATGAAATAGCTGTGCTGAAGAAGTAAGTATAGTTGGGACACCAAAACAAAGCCAGGTGCTGTTTCCAGAGCCTCGCAAAAAGGCTACTAGATATGTATATATGAAGCACTAAAGGGCATCAACAAAAAACATGTCCCATGAGCGACAGAAGAAGTCATAGCTGAAACAGCAAAGTTTCATATTTTATTTAATGCACTAAAGAAATAAATGCTTTAAATATGTTTTCTGATCTGTTCTTGCCATGTTGCAATCCAGGAACCAACAGAATATAACAGCTAAAATTTAAACCAGCCTTTAGATGGCACATGTTAGCTTATTGGCATGGTTTTCTAAGTGGGTGACAAGCTTTTGTGAGGGCTTAGCAGCACCATAGACTTGTTGTGATTCATAAATGGAATAATTTAACATCTCAAGAGTGATTTTGCAATACAATTCACACCACACACAAGACAATATCATGTATGAAAACCCAGCCCTACAGGCAGGGTATAAGAAAGTAATTTTGCATGCATGCAGATACCAACTGGGATAGAGGGTAGGATCCACTATGAAGGCTTTTTGAAAGAGAAAAATCTTCAACATCCAGCTATAAGGCAATAAAGACAGCACCAGATATGTTCCAAAGAGCATGTGCCACCACACTAAAGACCTGGTTTTAGCATTATGCAGAATGGACTTCCTGATCTTTTGCAAATGAGGGTGATGGACCATGATAGCTAAATAAAAACTCTGTGTTCAGAGGCACTGTTCCTTGAATTATTATATAGCATAGACAATCAATGGGAGATAGTTATTTCTTTCATGCCACTCATTCCAGTTGTTCATCCAATGATTGCAACAAAAAGGTGGATTATCTCAACCTTCATTCTGATCCCTCAAATAAATATTTACACTATTAAGAAGGAGTGGTAAAACTTAGAGAGGAAGGGAGGGAAATATAAGAGCTGTTTCTAAGGAATTCAACCTTTAGTTGCATCATTAATGAGATAAGTGCAAGGAGATTTTTATTTGAATTATTATTTTTTTCGGGTGGAATCTAGTGTTTGCAAGTGGAATTTCTCCATCCTCTCCTTCCTCAGCATTCCTCCTCTATTCTGGTGGTTCCTCGAACCTTCCAAAGTCAATTTTGAGGGCATGTGGAAGGGTTATGGGGCACAGGAGAGGGTAGTGAAGGCCAGTTATGCAATCACTTGATGCAACCTATTATTTTTTGTGATGGTGATTATTGTATTGTATACTGGAAAGGGCAATTCTGCCCTAAGAAGCAGTATATAAATTAGGTAATAAATAAGAATGGGGATATGCTTCCCAAAGACTGAGTGTACATAGCAAAACAGGCTTCAGAAACAGTGTGGTTTCTAAACAGATAAACTCTTTTCCTTACGAATGTACTGCGGGGGGTTTTGGTTATAGCTGGGAAGAAAATTTCTCTTGCTCCTAGAATTTCAAACAATTTTTTTCTTGTTGTTCCTTGAACAGAAGAGACTCACAGTGCTTAGAAAAAAAGGATGCTTCCCACTTTCCTGTGTAGATTGAAATAAGTACATTGAAGTAATGGTGCTTCATTCTGAATGGAATAAGTGTTGCACAAGAGAGGAATTGCTTTTAGTTTGACATTTTCTGACACTTGCTATGTTGTGAAACATTTCTATCTTTGGTTGCAGAATAAAGCATGACAACATAGTGACTCTGGAGGACATTTATGAGAGTACGACCCACTATTATCTGGTCATGCAGCTGTAAGTAGAGAAATGTCAGTGAGTTGTTGTGCTGTAAGAGCTGCATCTTACCACATTTTGTTTAAGGCTTTCTCTGAAGTCTGACAGTCAATTTTATGGAATATTAGTTGGGCAATTGTAGAAATGGTTTTACGGTTTTTCTATTTTGAGTCTTGTATTTTCTCTTATTGCACATTGCTTCAGTAGCTTCTGGCTATGAAATGACAGCATGAATGAGGTCCATCATACACATCTTTGCCATGAAATCCACACAATATCCCAGAATTGCAGATGGTACAATTGTGAGCCTCATTTTCATAACCCCACCCATAAGTCCACTTCTACCCCCTCTATTAATAACAGCTTGATAAGGAGATATTCAGAGCAGGAAAAAGAAAATTGTAGGTGGGATTGAGGGAGGGATCTGGAAAACTATTTAGCTTCAAAGAGATTGATCCCAGTGACATTAAAATCCATGTGCAGGCCACTTTTCACCTTTATTCCACTTGAAGTGTTTTGGTCAATGGGTTGTGGGGAGTGTCTTCTTCAATACAAGTGACCCATCCATAGTGGGCAGTTGAATTCTAAAGAAAATCTTCAGACTCTACCTCACCCCCATTTTTTAAAAAAGGCAACTAAGGATTGTAGCCAACGAAGTCATCCCATTAACAAAAGTACTTCCATTTGCACAATGGAATTTCCCCTCTCACTCCTTCCCCTGCAGTTCCCCCAAGTTTGTTCTGGAGTAGATTTTGTGGGGTATGGGGAGAGTAGAGGGAGAGCAACTTTTGTTGTGCAAGCAGAAGTCCTTGTGCGAATGGAATGATTTGCTTGGATGCAACCCTGAGGGATTAAGAGAGAGATTTCTGATTTGATTTCATACTGTGACCATTAAAAAAAGAAAATAGGTTAGTGTGTCAGCAATCAGGTTCCGAAAGCCTTGCTGGATTAAAGGTTGATTCTTCTAATGAAGGTACTTTGTGACAATTAAGTACTAGTAAATCAGATTGTTTCACAGAAGACTCGAAAGAGATTTGTGAGCAAAGTTGGTTGTTGTTGCTGTTACTATTTTCTTATAATCTGCCTGTATGACTGGATTGCACCAGCCAGTCTGTGCAGCTTCCAACAAAACTACAGAGGAAAGGGTTGGGGACGGAGGATTTCAAGCACTGAAAGGATTAAATGAAAACTGATCCTTGTTCTTCAAAGAAAACATGGCAGAAAAATGCATGGTCTAGGTTCAGTATGTTAGTACATCCAGTTTTGATTACTACTGACTGGGTTTTTATTTACAAACCCTATCAAGACCCAGGAAATGGGAGGCAGAACTTCCATTATCTAGCTGCATTTTCAAGTTTCTTCATCATAGGCTGATCAGTGAAAAATGCAACAAAAATGGGAACTCTGAGAAGGAAGCGGAAGCAATTGCATAGTAGAAATAGATATTTAGTGACTCAAAACATTTTAGGCATGTCCCCCCCCCAAAGAATCATGGGAACTGTAGTTTACCCTCACAGAGCTACAATTCCCAGCACCATTACAGTCTGTTCTTTGTGGAGATGTGCTTTAAAAATACAGTGTGGATGTGACCAGATGTTCACCATTTAGATATGTTGTTTCTCCTTTTCTTATGCAGCACATCTAAATGTTGAATCTTGCTTCTCTGAATTTTACTGAAGAAGCGCCAGTCAGGTCCAAAACTCCTTTGCTACCCCACTGCTTTTGCTTCCAAGCTATTCAGTGGCACGGTGTGCTGAACTTGAAAGTAGAATTTGAACGGAACAGCCTGAATATGTGATCAGACATATTCATGCAGTTCAGTAAGAGCAGTTTTATGATTCGTCTAATTATCTTCCTCCACAGTGTGTCTGGAGGAGAATTATTTGACCGTATTTTAGAACGAGGTGTTTACACTGAAAAGGATGCAAGCATTGTAATTCAGCAAGTCCTGGGAGCTGTGCATTATCTTCATGAGAATGGGATAGTCCACCGAGATCTGAAGGTAAATTCCTTGAGATACTTTTTGTCTACATTGACTAGCAGTGTCATTCATATATAATCCTTACTACAGTATTTTTGCTTCAACATCACCAAATGATGCTCAAGGCAGCTAACAAATTAAAACACAAAAGCAGGTAGGGTGGTTTTTTAAAATAAAATAACAGTCCCAAGCCCCAAATTGCATATTTACAGTCATTTGCCATACTGTCATCTAACAAGGCTAAACGTCTTTTTGAATAATAATGTCTTTGCCTGCAGAAGATAAGCAGAGACTAGACAGGTTTCCATTAACAGGGAGTTCCAGAACTTGGGAGCAACCGCGGAAGAAACCCTTTCTTTAGACATCTTACTTTACTTTATACTCTCAACCTTTATCCCTAGCCTGAAAATCTGCTCTACCTAACTCCCGAGGAGGACTCCAAAATCATGATCACAGACTTTGGTTTGTCTAAAATGGAGCAGAATGGCATCATGTCGACAGCGTGTGGGACTCCAGGATATGTCGGTAAGCAAGTATGTTTGCTCTCTATCACTGAAGTCATCATGCATGACAACAGTATATTCACTTCCTGCCAGCAGATTTATCTATTTGAGTGTGGTGAACATAAATATGATATTGAGTGCCTAACCACTTTTATATTACTTCC